TTCCTGAATCATCCAAAAGCAACACTGCAGGACTAATGTCAAGTGATTTAGCCAAAGGTTTCCTGGCATGGGCTAGCAGTTGGATATTTATCCTGGGCTTGGACTGCCAACGGTATCATATGAAAATGAGGCAAAGCAGTGGACACACAGTTCTGGGGAAGCACCTGTTTGGCACCTATATTTTGGAACTCAGAGACCCCCAGAAAGACACTGAATCATTTAAGAAATACCAAATACATTATAAATACCAGGACACATGTGCAAGCACATCAGACTGTGATCATCAGCTCTTGGCTAACATGTGAGGTCACAGGTATATGTAATTTAAACATCATTCCCAATGCAATGTCCATGATTCATTATTAATAATTGCACAAATTTAGGTCCAAGGAGAATATGGTGAGCAGCTAAACTATCTACTTCTCCTTTCACACCTCCTTAGATATCACTCTATACATCCAGGGAGATGGTGGTTGTGCCTGTGGAGAAGGAAGCCTATACTTCCTTTAGGAGATGAGCTAGTCAATTGCACTGCTCTTCTCCCTACCTAGTGGAAGAGGGGAAGTTCCTCTCCTGACATAGGAGAAGTCTGAAGGTAAGCCCACACAGTGAAGGCAGGAAGTATGCCTCATTCTGATGATAAGAAAGTTTTTTCTCAGATTCTCATCTCTGATGCCACAGAAACACTGGTCACCATGAGGGCTGAGAATACCAGTACAACACACCTCTCTCCCTTTCACCCTTCTCTACTTATCATTCTACTTGCCCAAGGTCATCTCCTTCAGCCCACTGCTTCCAAGAACTGGTATTTGCTGCAGTGATGACAGGCATGCTATCCTGTCCTCTCCTTTCACCCCTCTCCAAGGTCTCCCAGAGATCAAGGAAGTTTACCTGAGCAGGCATCAGTCACATGTCCATGCCTGTATGCTACAGTTGGGACATAGCCAAGATAATTCCAGGAATTGGACTTGGACAATATCCTAAGATAACCTTTCTTTTTCCCCAGAGCCTAGGTAAGTTTTATAGTTTGAGACAGGCTGCCTGAAGTTTGAACCCACTTTGTGTCTTCTTTTTCCACCTTTTACAACTGGTTGCCTACAGTTTACCTGAGGTCCAAACTGGAGGGAGAGAAAATCAGGTCTTAGAATTCAGCACAACTCTTCACACTTGGCCCAACAAGTCTTAAGTATAAGAAGTTGTGTCTTCCATGATTCAGGTCTCAAAGTTTTCAATGTTAGAGCTCCTTTTGTTATCTCATATCCTCTGCTCATATTCATCTATTTCATAAAGAATTTTGAGTTGTGTTCTTGCCAGAAAGAGGAGATAGAAAGGAAAATATAGCACAGAACTTGACCTCAAGCATCTCAAAGAATAATGTGACACTCTCGACTCATATTGTAACAAATGTGGTTAGGATTATTTTTCATTATAAGCATTCATTTTCCTTAATTATATTAATCTCATCAACTACTTTTCATTAATATAAAAAATTGTTCTTGTAGTTAATTATACACATCAATTTATTCACTATTTGGATAGAGTAGCCAGTTCAGAGTGAAGAAAGAAGATGCAGGACTTTAGGATGGAGCCTCCAGAAAAAAAGTTTCCATGTACTATATGATATGATATCTAATATATAAATATGTGAAAGGAATTTAAAATAGGTATATAGAAGTTTGTGCATATGTAAAAACATTGCTTTTATTTTGTAAAATACAAAATCAGAAAAAAGAATGAAATCATACTTAACTCCATAATAAATGAAGTTTTCATAATAATAATATAGTCACTGATCACTGATTTAATTAAAATAGTACTAATTCAGGGGAGGATGAGAAAGAGAAGTGGGATCTAAAAGAGTTAAATCAATGTCCATCATAACAAAAAGTGAAAAAAAATCTAAAACTGATAAGTCAATCACTAGCAGTATAAGCTTATCATTCAGAGGTGTGAAAATAATTACTAGAAAAGTTTAAAGTGGTTTTCTCCATAAAATAGGATAAAAAGGGCAGTGGCCTACAGTTTTTGAGTATGAGCCTTTTAATATCATTTGCTTTTGTAAAACATGTGTGTGTTTTACTTTGATTTAGAAAATGGGTTGTTTTTTTTATTGTTACCTTTCAGGAGACTATTCTAACTATGCTTAACTCTAACATGCTACTAAGTGCAGGGTACTTATAAGCATCAAAAACTGAGCAATAGTATTGATCTCAAGCATCTTAGCCAATCATTAGTTCCTGACTGAAGAATCCAAGATCAAGGAAAAGACAGATAATTCTATACTATTCCTGCAAGTGACAGAACAAAAAACAATGATTCACAGTAGAATAATGACATCCACAGATGTCCCTGTTCCTCACTCAATATATCAAAAACCCAGTTTGGGCTAATTCAAAGAAGAATCTGACATATGTACACCAGCACATCACAGTAGATTTCTGCACTCTGAGTGACTAATGTGAACCCAAATCAACCTGTTATGATCTTGCTCCAGTTTACCTTTTAACATTTGCTCCCAGTGTTTTCATTCAGAAATCTTGTGCTCTATCCACATTGGTCTTCTTACTATATTCAAGGTATGTCATTTTTTTCTGCCCCACAGCCCTTGATTACATCTTTAACTATCCCATGACCTAGATCTATGCCATTTTCTCCACCTCTCTGAATGCTACCCATCTTTCAATACTCAGTAGATTGACTTCTTATTACAAACATGTGATATGCAAAGAATCACTAGGAACTGCAGAAGTTAGTTCCCTAAGAGCTCTATGTTTCATTAGAACATGCATGCAAGAAGGCAGATAGCTATAATATAAGGTAAAGTTAAGTAGATTCCATGAGAAAGGTATACTCAAAATACTGAGTGTTTAAAATGTGTGTCATGACATCAATTTAGAAGAATTAGAATATATTTCATATAGCAGAGAGTTATTGAAACACACCTCAAGGAATGCAGGTGACATGCAAATGGAAATGTGAAATTTGCAAAGGCACAGTGGAGGGTTGGAAGGATAAGCAAAGTTCAATTAGCAGAGCATCTTAAGGGATCAATGAAAAGCCCACTTCAGCTAAGAAGTATGGATCTATGTTGGAGAGTAGCAGGAAGTGAATCTATAAATGCAAGTTGGTGACATGGTAGAAGGCCTCAAATGTCAGGTTGTGGAATTTTTACTTACTCCAGTAGGTAAGATAACTATGTAGATTTTGAGAGATGAAGTGGCCCGATCAGAGTGCTCCTTCATAAAGATTAACTTAGGGGCACTTGGGTGGCTCAGTGGTTGAGCATCTGCCTTCAGCTCAGGTCGTGATCCCAGGGTCCTGGGATAGAGTCACACATAAGGCTCCCCACGGGGAACCTGCTTCTTCCTCTGCCTATATCTCTACCCCCCCCCAATGAATAAACAAAATCTTAAAAAAAATAACTTTCAGTAGTTTTTAAGATAATTTAAATTGGAGGAAATAGAATATAGAGACAGCAGTTAGAAGCAATTCTAGTAATCGCAGTAAAAATTTTTGAGGATATGAACTACTGTCATCAAGAAGGAAATAAAGAGGGATCCCTGGGTGGCGCAGTGGTTTGGCACCGGTCTTTGGCCCGGGGCGCAATCCTGGAGACCCGGGATCGAGTCCCACGTCGGGCTCCTGGTGCATGGAGCCTGCTTCTCCCTCTGCCTGTGTCTCTGCCTCTCTCTCTCTCTCTGTGACTGTCATAAATAAATAAATAAATAAATAAATAAATAAATAAATAAATAAATAAATAAAAGAAGGAAATAAAGAAGGATGGGTTGAAATGGGGTAGAAGAAGACCTCCAAGTCACTTGATGGCTGGTTGGTCCATCTTGCCATCTATCTTGCTCCATACAAAAAGACTCTACTTTTTGTATCTGACAGACTAAGACAATGGTGGTAGCAATGGAAGGAATTTGATTATTTGATTATTATGTTTTGGATACACTGAGTTGAAGTGTTAGTAGCATGTCCAGGTGGAAGTGAATAACAGAACACTGGAATGAGGGTCAGGAACGGGACATTCATATATTTCAGCACCAAAATGATACCTGAAGCAGGGGGGAGGTATAAACAGAAAATATCTCTACAAATAATAACTTTTAAAAGTCTTTGGTTATGGGGGTGGGAGAGACTGAAAAGAGAAGAAGCATCTTATAACAAAGTGGTCCCTCTCTTTTAGCTATTGTATTTTTTGTTGTTGTTTGTTTTTGTTTCACTAATTTATTTTGCAGAAGAAAGCAAACATGTGGGTCAATTTTGCCATCTTGAGCTGAAAGCTCATAATAGCAAAGATTCTAATGGAGATTTAAAGGATTGTATCTGAAAGGAAGGAGGTAATTCTGGAGTGGATTACTTAAATATTTGGTTGGCACTGCCCTATTCCCAGCCCAGTTGAGGCCCTGGAAATTATCCTGAGACCTGAAGGACATGATGAACTGGAAGAAGGGGAAAGTGGGTAGTTACCATCTGATTTGCCAAGAACTGAGAGGTTTCCCAGTACACAAGACTTTCAGTGCTAAAATGGAAAGTTCTAGGCAAAACAGGGTAAGCTGGTCCCACCCAAAGGGATGGAATGAAGAAAGTGGGCAGAAATGTCATAGGTCTCAACTTGTTTATTTCACTAAGTTCTCTCAAAATGTGTCCAGGGCTAGGAAGCAACATTTATATTTAAAGTGAGTACAACTCCGATGGATGACGCTCCTAGTTCACTGGGCGGGGGTGGGTAGGTGTGGGAGGTGTTTCTATCAGCAATCATTCACCATAGAACCAGAGCCTCAAGACCTAACCAGGTAAAGTGTCTGGGGTCCAATCTCTGCAGAAATCACAAGGCAAAATAGAGGATAAGAGAGGGCAGGACTCTGATTAGGGTAGTGCTAGGCTGGCAAATGGAAAGTCAGCAACAATTATTTCACATAATTGAAGTGGTTGATATGGCAAGCAAGTGAATACAGGTGGATTAAGTTGACCTCTGGTACAAGGACATTACTTACGCTATAAACCAGGAAGAACAGCCCATCTCCTGTTCTGGCAATGTATTCATGACAATGTGCCATTGTGCAGATCCTGTTGACTTCTCCTGAAGAAGCAGAAACTGTCTAAAAGGATACCTGAAAAGGTTAAGAGGATGTGTTGGAAGCCCTGTCAAGTGGCCTATAGAGACTCATAAACACACCCTTCTTCCTTTCCATCCCTTCAGAAATCCCAGAGAGCAATGCTTCTTCATCCTCCTCTGCTTGGCTGAGCATCCAGTGTAGATATTAGTCCTAAATTCTAGGAGCAGAGGTTGACCACAAAGATTAAACTGCAATGTTAAATTCCAAGGAGCAGCACAATAGAATGAGAAGGGGATGGCTTTGCCAAGTAGAGAAACCTCGACATTGATGTAGTCTGACCACTTATTTGCATCATCCTAGCAAATTAACTTGTAACATTGGTTTCATAGAGGGCATCACACAAGGGGTTTTGTGAGACAGGGACATAATCAGATGAAAATGTCACTTGAGGGGCACCTGGGTGGCTCAGTCGGTTAAGCATTTGCCTTCAGCTCAGGTCATAATCCCAGGGTCCTGGGATTGAGCCCTGCATCATGCTCCTTGCTCAGCACAGAGACTGCTTCTCCTTCTCCCTCTATCTACAGCCCTGCTTATGCGCTCTCTCTCTCTCTCTCTCTGACAGATAAATAAATAAAATCTCAAAAAACAGTAAAATGCCACTTGGCTTTTGCCAATACATGAGAAAGGGAACCTCTCTTCTACCCTCACAGAGAGGAATCCAACTCCCTGTGCGTGTGTGTGTGACTGTATTTGTGTGACTGTGTATGTGACTGTGTGTGTGTATGACTGTGTGTGTGTGACTGCATGTGTAATTTTGTAAATATGTGTGTGTGTGTGCGTGCATGTGTATCTTCAGGTGACCCTCCTTTTTTTGTATATTTCTTATTAAAAGTTCAATTTGCCAACATATATTATAACACCCAGTGCTCATCCCATCAAGTGCCCCCTCAGTGCCCATCACGCAGTCACTCCATACCCCCGCCCACCTCCCCTCCCACTACCCCTTGTTCATTTCCTGGAGTTGTCTCTCATGTTTTGTCACCCTCTCTGATATTCCCCACTCCTTTTCTTTCCTTTCCCTTTTAATCCCTTTCACTATTTTTTATATTTCCTCTGTGAGTGAAACCATATGTTTGTCCTTCTCCGATTGACTTACTTCACTCAGCATAATACCCTCCAGTTCCATCCACGTTGAAGCAAATGGTGGGTATTTGTCGTTTCTAATGGCTGAGGAATATTCCATTGTATACATAGACCACATCTTTATCCATTCATCTGTTGATGGACACCGAGGCCCCTACCACAGTTTGGCTACTGTGGACATCGCTGCTATAACATCGGGGTGCAGGTGTCCCAGTGTTTCACTGCATCTGTATCTTTGGGGTAAATCCCCAGCAGTGCAATTGCTGGGTCGTAGGGCAGGTCTATTTTTAACTATTTGAGGAACCTCCACACAGTTTTCCAGAGTGGCTGTACCAGTTTCCACCAACATTCCCACCAACAGTGCAAGAGGGTTCCCCTTTCCCCACATCCTCTCCATTTGTTGTTTCCTGTCGTCTTAATGTTCCCCATTCTCACTGGCGTGAGGTAGGATCTCATTGTGGTTTTGATCTGTATTTCCCTGATGGCAAGTGATGCAGAGCATTTTCTCATGTGCCATTGGCCATGTCTATGTCTTCCTCTGTGAGATTTCTGTTCATGTATTTTGCCCATTTCATGATTGGATTGTTTGTTTCTTTGCTGATGAGTTTAATAAGTTCTTTAGAGATCTTGGATACTAGCCCTTTATCTGATACGTCATTTGCACATATCTTCTCCCATTCTGGAGGTTGTCTTTTAGCTTTGTTGACTGTATCCTTTGCTGTGCAAAAGCTTCTTATCTGGATAAGTCCCAATAGTTCATTTTTGCTTTTGTTTCTTTTGCCTTCATGGATGTATCTTGCAAGAAGTTACTGTGGCCGAGTTCAAAAAGGGTGTTGCCTGTGTTCTCCTCTAGGATTTTGATGGATTCTTCTCTCACTTTTAGATTTTTCAACCATTTTGAGTTTATCTTTGTGTATGGTGTAAAAGAGTGATTTAGTTTCATTCTTCTGCACGTGGCTGTCCAATTTTCCCAGCACCATTTATTGAAGACACTGTTCTTTTTCCAGTAGATAGTCTTTCTTGCTTTGTCAAATATTACTAGTTGACCATAGAATTGAGGGCCCATTTCTGGTTCTCTATTCTGTTCCATTGATCTGTGTGTCTGTTTTTGTGCCAGTACCACACTGTCTTGATGACCACAGCTTTGCAGTACAACCTGAAATCTGGCAGCATGATGCCCCCAGCTATGGTTTTTTTTTTTCAATATTCCCCTGGCTATTGATTCAGGATCTTTTTTGATTCCATACAAATCTTAAGATGATTTGTTCCAACTCTCTGAAGAAAGTCCATGGTTTTTGATAGGGATTGCATTAAATGTGTACATTGCCCTGGGTAGCATTGACACTTTCACAATATTAATTCTGCCAATCCATGAGCATGGAACATTTTTCCATCTCTTTGTGTCTTCCTCAATTTCTTTCAGAAGTGTTCTGTAGTTTTTAGGGTATAGATCCTTTACCTCTTTGGTTAGGTTTATTTCTAGGTGTCTTATGCTCTGGGTGCAATTGTAAATGGGATTGACTCCTAAATTTCTCTTTCTTCTGTCTCATTGTTAGTGTGTAGAAATGCCACTGGTTTCTGGGCATTGCTTTTGTATCCTGCCATACTGCTGAAGTGCTGTAGGAGTTCTAGCAATCTTGGGGTGGAGTCTTTTGGGTTTTCTAGGTACATTATCATGTCATCTGAGAAGAGGGAGAGTTTGACTTCTTCTTTGCCAATTTGAATGTCTTTTATTTCTTTTTGTTGCCTGATTCCTGAGGCTAGGACTTCCAGTACTATATTGAATAGCAGTGGTGAGAGTGGACATCCCTGTCTTGTTCCTGATCTTAGGGGAAAGGCTCCCAGTGTTTCCCCACTGACAATGATATTGGCTGTGGGCTTTTCCTAGATGGCTTTTAAGATGCTGAGGAATGTTTCCTCTATCCCTACACTCTGAAGAGTTTTGATCAGGAATGGATGCTGTATTTGGTCCAATGCTTTCTCTGCATCTATTGAGAGGATCATATGGTTCTTGTTTTTTCTCTTGCTGATATGATCTATCACAGTGATTGCTTTACGAGTGTTGAACCAGCCTTGCATCCCGGGGATAAATCCCACTTGGTCACGGTGAATAATCTTCTTAATGAACTGTTGGATCCTATTGGCTAGTATTTTGTTGAGAATTTTTGCATCTGTGATAATCAGGGAGGTTGGTCTATAATTCTCCTTTTTGGTGGGGTCTTTGTCAGGTTTTGGAATTAAGGTGATGCTGTCCTCATAGAACGAGTTTGGAAGTATTCTATCTCTTTCTTTCTGAACAGCTTGAGTAAAATAGGTATGGTTTCTTCTTTAAATGTTTGATGGAATTCCCCTGGGAAGCCATCTGGCCCTGGACTTTTGTGTCTTGGGAGGTTTTTGATGACTGCTTCAATTTCCTCTGGTTATTTGCCCTGTTCAGGTTTTCTACTTCTTCCTTTTCCAGTTTTGGTAGTTTGTGGTTTTCCAGAAATGCGTCCGTTTCTTCTAGACTGCCTAATTTATTGGTGTATAGCTGCTCATAATTTGTTTTTTTTAAATCATTTGTATTTCCTTGATCTAGGTTGTGATCTCTCCTTTTTCATTCATGATTTTATTGATTTGAGTCTTTTCTTTTGTGTTTAATAAGGCTGGCTAATGGTTTATCTATCTTATTAATTCTTTCAAAGAACCAACTCCTGGTTTTGTTAATCTGTTCCACAGTTCTTCTGGTCTCTATTTCATTGAGTTCTGCTCGAATATTTATTAGCTCTCTTCTTCTGCTTGGTTTAGGTTTTATTTGCTGTTCTTTCTACAGTTCCTTTAGGTGTGAGGTTAGCTTGTCTATTGGAGTTTTTTCCAATTTTTTGAGGGATGCTTGTATTACAACGTATTTCCCTCTTAGTACTGCTTTTGCTATATCCCAATGATTTTGAACAGTTGTATTTTCATTCTCATTAGTTTCCATGAATCTTTTTAATTCTTCTCTAATTTCCTAGAAATTTCCCTTTCATCTTTTAGCAGGATGTTCTTTTACCTCCACATGTCTGAGTTTCTTCCAAATTTCTTCTTCTGCTTGAGTTCTAGTTTCAAAGCATTTTGGTCTGAAAATATGCAGGGGACAATCCCAATCTTTTGGTATCAGTTGAGACCTGATTTGTGATCCAGTATGTGGTCTATTCTGGAGAAAGTCCCATGTGCACTTGAGAAGAATGTGTATTCAGTTGTGTTCAGATGCAAAGTTCTGTGTATATCTCTGAGATCCATCTGGGCCAGTGTATCATTTAAAGCTCTTGTTTCTTTGGAGATGTTGTACTTAGAAGATCTATTGATTTTAGAAAGCGCTAGATTGAAGTCACCAAGTATAAGTGTATTATTATCTAGTATGTCTTTACTTTGGTTATTAATTGATTGATATACTTGGCAGCTCCCACATTTGGGGCATAAATATTCATGATTGTTAGGTCCTCTTGTTGGATAGACCCTTTAAGTGTGATATAATGTCCTCTTCATCTCTTACTACAGTCTTTGGGATAAACTTTAATTTACCTGATGTGAGGATTGCTATCCCAGCTTTCTTTTGAGGACGATTTGAATGGTAAACGGTTCTCCAACGTTTTATTTTCAGGCTGTAGGTGTCCTTATGTCTAAAATGAGTCTCTTGTAGACAGCAACTAGATGGGTCTTGCTTTTTTATCCAGTCTGAAACCCTGCATCATTTGATGGGATCATTTAGCCCATTCACATTCAGAGTTACTATTGAAAGATATGAATTTAGTGTCATCATGATACCTATTCAGTCCCTGTTTTTTGTGGATTATTTCTTTGGGCATCCTCTTTCTTTTACAGAGTCCCCTTTAATATTTCTTGGAGAGCTGGGTTGGTGGTCACATATTCTTTCAGTTTATGCTTAACTT